ACTTCTAAGCTGCTTATATACTTTATCGTCTACTAATTGATCTATTTTTAGCATCGATCTAAATTCTAATTACTAATCTACCATCACTATTGTTACTAGCCGTTGCTGCGCAAATAGCAGTTTCTGCCCGTATGACAATTGCAAATATTTGCTGCCGGTACTACTTTACTGCATTAGCAGCACTTGTCTTACATTATAATCATCCGTGTACCGTTGTTGGTGACACCTATCGTTCCGCAGCAAATTCGGAGAGGAATACGTCATCTTCGGCTCTTGATCCTCACACAACGATCTACGCAGTATTCCGTCAATTTTTATCATTGCAAAACCCCATATTAAAACTAAAATTACTAATATACTTAACAATTTATTACTTTCCTTAGTAGATATGGCCAGTAGAAATGTTGTTTTTCATCTTTAATTGATCATCGGAATCCGCCCAATACCTTTTTGTACCCATACAACGAATCAAAGTAATACATAAACATTCTTAAATAATCAGGAATTTACCTACCTGCCACGTTGTACGAGTTCAAATACTATTTTTTCATTGGATGCTCAGCTGGCCTCTCCGGAAATATTATGGGCTGTCCAACCTGGCAAGCAAGCTGTGTGACTTGGCAGCTAAATTCCCGATTATCGTTCTAAATTATACTTCTGGAATGAAATATTTCTGTCTAGTATAATTTCTCTCCTTGTGTGTAAGTTGCTAGGCGATAGGAATGTCGCTGAAAGAATCGTTTCTTTTGAAAAAATTCAGACGGCTTGAGCTAAAGACCAGAGCGACTCAAATCAAACGATATTTTGTAGTGGCTAGCAAACCAGAAATTAATTAGCACTTAATTGAGCAACCTGGCACTAAATGTAGTGGCTAGCAAACCAGAAAGTAACAAACATTAATTAGCACTTAATTGAGCAACCTGGCACTAAATGTACGCCGCTGCCAACGTGCTTGAGCTTATGATAATTGCGACATGCTAGGCCAATAGCCTTATAAGATTTATTTGATTGTTCCACATTAATTCAAACTTTATTTATGTTACTCAATATACTCTTTTAAGCTGGGAAGAGTTGGAAGCGGAATAAGGACGACGTCGTTAGCGTTGGAACAAAAAGAAGAATTATCAAAATGGTAAATGTAAATGTCATTTGCTCATCTTAATTACTAAGCTGAACGAGAAGTAGATTTATAGCACACACAAGTAATGTAACTACTTTTGCTGAGAAACATTCTGTTTACAATACCATCACCTGTATAACCATCCCCAGTCTGGTGCACAGTAATTATCACATTAACTCTTCATTACAACTAAAATCTTTATAAAACCCCCACGCCATCCCAGCCGCTATGGTTATTATTAATAATTTTTTATTAGCAACACGTTTTTTTGACTCATAAACCTCAAAATGCGAAAGATAAAAGAAACCAAACTTGCGCTGTCTAGACAAGCGAATGATTTGAACCTGGTATCAGAAAACACCGATGATGAAGAGGTCACAGCCATATCGCCGACAAGTTCAATCATGTCGTCTACGTCGTCATTATTAGATCCGATTGAGACTGCATCAGGCCTAGAGAATCTATTCGATATGTTCGTATATGTTGACGGACGACGCTTCCTGAAAGATATAGATTCAAAATGCTATTTACCTTGCGATGAGCAGGAAGCATATAGAACCTACAAAAGACATTACCTATTTAGATTTATATGGAAGAGCAACTACTCCGCTCCTGTTCTCGACGAATTATCGTTTGGTGCGAGAGTACTTGATGTTGGGTAAGATACCATACTTGATCAGTTCGTATTGCAAACATCTGAAAAACCAATAATTCAATTTATCCCTTTTTAACAGTTGTGCTGAAGGAACATGGTTGCTAAACATGGCTGCGGAATATCCTCTATCAACGTTTGTTGGAGTAGATATCTCCCCGGTGTTTCCCGAAGTCACGCAAACGAACACAGCATTTCTTCAGTGTAATGCTCTCGATGGCCTACCCTTTCCCGAAAATACATTCGATTTTGTTCGGCAAGGATTTCTTATAGTTAGTATTGATTGGCAAGAATGGAAAGATAAACTAGTTAAAGAACTGGTCAGAGTGACCAAAACTGGAGGGTATATTGAGGTGATGGATTTAGACATTAAGTATTATAGGAGTGGTGAGATATGTAAACAGCTAGCGAGTTCCGGTAAGTCATACTTTTGATGCTCTTAGTGAGCGATATGACTTTGTTCTTACGGTCTCATTTGTGCCTTGTTGATTACGTTCAATGTTCATGTTATAGTAACGGATCGTTTTGAACAAATTGGGATTAAGTACAATTCTAGCAAGGATGTACTGAAAGCATTCGGAGATCTGAATGATGCAGTAACCGTTTCGCCTTTAGAAGAGAAAGTACACCCTCTCGGAAGTTGGGCTGGGAAACTGGGAGAACTGGTGAGGCAAAAGACGATCAGTATCGAATTCAATTTATTAGTTCAATGTACTTATTAATCGTGATTGATATCAATTACGTGTCATACATTTTACTAGTCGTTGGAAGGGAACATAGAAGCATACGAATCATTACAAGCCCTCCTTTGTCCTGCTTTAAAGGTCACAAAGGAGGAGTATCAACAAAAGTTACTCGATTTGTCTGAAGAGTACAATCGATGTAAGACGTATCTAAAGACTTATCGTGTCTTTATAAGGAAGAACAAGAATATATAATATGCTAGAAAAGCTGTAGATCATGACTATAAAAATGACTATTAATTGTAATATAAAACATCAAAATAAATGTCGAACATTACAGAATACTTTGTTCAATTTGGACGTTTCGGCAACTTGTTGATTATTCCCCCCGCTCTCCTCTTATGCGGTTATATGTACTGTATAACTATATTTGGTACAGTACAACTCTTCTTTCTATATTGCTCTCGCTTGGTAACAGAGGATTGAATGTGATATAATTGAGAAATGAAACTTGTCACCCGATTCACATATTAACTAGTGTTACTATGCGATCTATCACCACCAATAATGTGAATCAAAGACACAAACTTGTTGGCTACAGTTACCATATGTATAAACGTTTGAGAAAAGTGAGGCTTTCATGTTACTGGACATGCAAATAGCAACGCAAGATTATAGAAACGACATGTGATGTCCAAGTGTTCGTAACAATTCGGTTTTTGGAATGTTTACAGTTTCACCGCCCACTGATCAAATTAGTAATTAAATTAAGTGTCTCAACGGCTACATGTTCACTTACCACTGAAAATAATTAATTAGCATTTGTTGGTGTCATAACCTTTATGCGCACGGACTGCTTTAGATGAAGATTGAAAACATTTCATAATAACAATCAGTGTGCTATTGACAAGGTAATCAGGGCATTTTGTTTATTTCCCCAACGCCTGTAAATTGATACGCTTAACTAAGCCTTATATAAGCATTGCACAAATTTCAATTGGATGGTCTGAGCCCGCGCAAGTAAGAGCAGGAGTGACACAGTTTTATTGTTTGTTCAATATTTTAATTTACTTGCTATCCCTACATTCTGATCGTGTCACAAGGACCTAACCCCGAGTGACTAGCTTTTGAAAATCGCGAATTTAGAATATAGTTTGTGAAACGATGAGAACATATATTAATATATAAGCAGTTGTGTTAACATCTACAAAGTCGGAATCCGATTGGTAAAAATACGATTGGACTGCTATTTATAGCAACGCATTTACTTTGGTGTAAACGGTTCCCCCATAGTAATAGTATTGAATTAACCCTCATCGATAAGAGTAAAAGCAGTCACTGCCGTTTAAGTAAATTGAGAATCTGCGTATACAGGACCATGTAAAGATTCACTTCTTGTCAATTACAGAATAGAGGTACTGCTAGATTCATTAAATCTCAAGTTTAATATACCGATCGCTTCCCTGTGGCAAACTCGGCAAGGGTTAGAGAATAGGGTAACCGACAAGTGCATTCTTGTGGAGAAACTATGCAAAGTGATGGTTGCTAATCTAGTTTCAATCGTAATGATTGAAGATCTGATGCCCTGATGCGGTTTTCTGTTGGGTGCTTATTATTATAGCAGTTTAAGTTAAATAGAATGCATGCTCCATCGACAACAATACCATAGTCAAATTATTTTATTACTTACAAATTTTCATCGTTCCCAAACATCACCATATACGACGCGATCAAACTCCAAAAAATAGTTGCGACTAATAAACAATGCAACCTCCAGAGCATATACGCGTTTTGGGCATACTTCAATGTTGTCACCCCACAGGATTAACCCGTTGCTTGTCAATCTTTTGTTTCTTGAATTTCTCATCCAGCCTTCTTTTCAGATGCAAATAAAAGCTCTCAAATATATTTCTGTTATCTCCCCATACCCAAGAAACTGTCAACTTTGTCTTCATTTCACCTTGCGCTTCAGTACTCTCCTCGATGCTTTTCTCCAACCTGATGGCATATTTGAATAAAGGCTGATCGGTTTCAATGTCCAAAGTGATGTCTTCCCCAGCAGCAATTTTTCTTCGCGCTTTGCGCGACCAAGTCTCGACAAATACAGCTCCAGAACACAATATGTTATCATCGCCAGAATCATTGCTCTCCTCAACGACGCTGTCACTATCCCGTTGATAAGTAACGTGGGCTTCAGTAAGAATGGAGGTCACGGCAATATAGAGCGAGGTTGGATTAGTATGCCAAGTAGTAACAAATTCTGATATCGGCGGCTTGACATGGCGAAGTTTTCTTGATGTCGGTTGGGAGATGGACTAGGCGATCAACGTGAACTGAGTATAAATGACATTAACTGAAACAAAAAGCTCATATCAGTGCTTACCATTGGAGGTCTTTGGTTCCCGAACGACCATCCAATCCCCCATCGTCGCGTTCTCCCTTGTACAAATTCGGTTAAAACAAAATTATCAATCTATAGATAGTAAAGACAAATTATTACTTAACCAATTCAATTGAAACATCATACGCGTATGCTGCTAACCTTGTGTTTTTTCAGTTCTGCAACTATCAAATCAACCGTTTCTAGTCTTCCAATCATTGATGTATACCATGATATTCTCTTTCGAAAAACAAGACTCTCTTCTAAAATGTCCTTAATAAATTGATATTCCCCACCGGGCGTCACCATTTGATCTTGGGAACTTGTGCACGTCTATTTGTGTTTGATCAAGATGTTAACAAAGAAGATACATTATAAATATACATTCATATTCTGCATTACCGATGATGGTGGAAGCTTCTTGTTTGCAGTAGCGGTTTCGTACTGTTTGACACTTTCATAAAATGGTGGATTACACATACAAAAGGCATAACTAGTAAAATATTGGTGCATCAGCTGGAGGCTTGTCTTCTCTGTGCATGAATTACTTGTATAAAAAAAATGTAAACATACTCTCTTTCAGGCACATCATCAATCGGAAGTTTTCTATTCGATGAATTCAGCAATAAAGTTATTCTGTCAGAGAGATTGTTCTTTTCAACATTATTCATTGCAGCTTCAAGAAGCCTTTTGTGAGTGTCTTCAATAATAAACGCGAACGAAAGCGTTGAAATTAACGGTCAGCCAAGCACGTCGCATGAATCTGTATTATTAAAGTGTCTTACTCTCTTATTGTAAACCCTCTGTCTCGTTCAAACGCTCATGCTCACCGGTGGCAAGGAATTTCCAATTCGCGTTCAATGCACAACCAAGAAGAGGATATATGCATGATGCGCCTGTGCCTCTAAATTAAGCGAATTAGTACTTGTAAAGGATCAATAATTAATCAACATCCTTACATATCAATCCCATAGACATCCTCTGTGCTTGATACGACATCGCAAATCAAATCTTCGATCCAGTGGATGTAGTTAAGCCTATTAGGATGCAAAAAACTCGTATTCCTTGTAGTAGGCTCATCAATATATCACAATAGGATTGACAGAGGCTGACCTGTTTGGAACCTGCAATCGATGGAATTCACGTCAGAACAACGTTCCATCAATAAGGGGCAAGCTGTACTCTTACCATTGGACAAAGTGCATCGTTTGGTATCTCCAAGTACAATCCAAAGTCGTGCTTTAACAACGTGTAGGATAATTCTCTGATTAGATAAAATACAATTTAATAATGATACCAAAAACATTGCCTATACGAAACGAGTGTTGGAGTCTTACCGCACGGCATCTGGATCATGAAAATCTATACAAGCTTTATTCTCTTTATCATAACGCACGCTAAGAAACAAATAGAAACGAACATGATTAATTGGAACACGTAGTTATTATATTAAAAGACAAATATAATGCTCGCTTACTGTTTCCTGAACGTTGGATATTTAAAAGCAAGTACATCAAAGTCGGGTGGATTAATGTATCTATTTCTTGGGTGCATCTTGTGTCTACTTCGCTTTTTAATGAGAATGTCATTTCACGCACTTTTGTGGTCGTACAGACGATGTCGCAGTCACATGATTATTTTCTCACGATGCGTGTGTATAATTCCTACATATTACAATGATGACCGGAATTAGTGTTAGTCTTTACAATGAAGATTACCCTTATATAGAAATTATTATTATGTACGACATTAAAAGTGGGATAAATGTAATGTGTAGGTTATTTTCACTATTACTATTACTATTACTATACCATAATAATCATACTAATAATATCCATACATCATTTGCATAGCATGACATCAACACAAACCACACTTGAATCCGAAACATTGACAGCTCTCTCCAAGTTAGACAGTCTCGTGTCAGCAGCTGGCAAAGTATTCACCGCATTGGCTTCATATTCATTAGACAATAGCACCGCAGAGGGGAGTTTTACAAAATTAAAGGAATCATTAGTAGAATATCAGGCACTGGAAGTAGGGTTGAAAGAAATTGTTCGTTCAATTGAGAGTAAAAGAAGAAGTGAAGATGAAAAAGATACGAATGAGGTACATGATAATGAGCAAACAAGATTCATGTCGTGCGTTTGTATTAATTAATTCCGTTGCTCTGTAATCGTGTCATGTAAAAGAAATCAAATGGGCCACCCAGCAACCAGATAATACAAATGGAGACAGCGTCAGAAGAAGTAACCAAGCTCACTGAACAGAGAGATAGTTTACAAGAGGTCGTTGCATTATAAACATTTCCAATCTTGTTTATTATGACAATCGAATCGTGTGCTAATCTCCGTATCTTTGACAATTCATAGACAGCACAACTGTATACTTTACAATTGACTAATATACTTGAACAAAGTTATAAATTACAGTTTCATCTACAAACACTCTTAGCATGCAGTGAAGAACCTGTAGCGGTTCAAGAAGACAACGCGTGAGTGTATGAATATCAGTAAAGGGGGGAAAAAAGGAAGAAAGGAAAAGAATAAAATATGTACTTATGGACAGTTTATATAAATAAATTACTTCTAGTATTGGATACTCAATATGCAATATACTAACTATTTAAGTACGCGATCCTCAATGATCTCCCATTTCATGGACTTTCGTTTCTACTTGCAAAGTCACATCCAATCCCACTGTCAGCGGGACTGTTATAGCCATTGGCAGTCATATTCTCTTCAACTACATTATCGCTCCTACCCGCATCCTCCCCACTCTCTCCCTTTCCCCCTTCCTTTAATCTCCTCTTGACATGCTTTATCGTTTCGATACCTATCTGCATTGTCTTTATAATGTCATTTCTTGCCTTATCATGGTCACCGAGTTTATCATATACCGCCGCTCTCTCGAATAGAGTAAATACTATTGTTTGTGTGCTCAACCCAAACACTGTACCCATGTCTCTATTTATTGCTTCAGTTAAATCTGCCAGTGCCTTGTCATATTCACCCTTAATCCTATAAACACTTCCTCGGTTTTGCAAAGCCGTCACTTGGAATTGGAGATCGTGAAGATCGTTAGTCTTGTAACTCAATGCGGCATCCAGATCAGTTAAGGCTTTGTCATAGTCTCCCATTGACCTGTATACTGCTCCGCGAGCAGCAAGGGGAAACCACTCTTTCTGCTGCACGGTTAAAGACTTGTCTAGATCCTCTATTGCTTCGTCGTATCTTCCCATATCATAGTATATTTGAGCACGATAACATAGAGCCCATATCTCGGTTGCCTCTATCTCGAGCGCTTTCGTAAAGTCTTTTAGCGCCATTTCTTTCATACCCAGCTTAAAATACACTTCCCCTCTGATAACATACGGAAACGGCCCCTCTGATCCTACTTCAATAGCGCGATTTATAGTCTCAAGTGCTTCCTTGTATTTTGCTGTCATTCTGTATGTCGCTCCTCTTATCTCCAGTGCATGCGCCGTATCTGGTTTAATCTTCAAAGTCTTGTCTAAATCGCTCATCGCTTCATCATATCGATACATCATCCTGTATACTTCCGCTCTAGTCGATAGAGCATAAATATTATTTGGTTCTATTTCTAACGACTTGGTAAAGTCTGCAAGAGCCTTTTCATACTCGCACATAACATGGAACAAGTTCGCTCTTTGTTCTAGTGCATACGCATCCATTTCGTTCAATTCTACAGCCGCATTTAGATCGGTCATCGCGTTCTCGTATTCCTTCATCATTCTATATACTGTACCACGACATGCCAACACTAGCGTATTCTCTGGTTCAGCTTCGAGCACTCGGTTGAGGTCGCTTAATGCTTCTTCGTGTCTTCTCAGCTCTTGGAATAATGCTCCTCTTGACTCTAAGCTTCGGATATTGTTTGGCCTTATTTCTAATGCCCTATTAAGATTCTTCAGAGCCTCCTCAGTGTGTCCTAACATTCTGTGGACTTCTCCTCTGTTAGTTAACGCAAATACGCTGTCTGGTTGATACTCTAGCACTTTGTTAATGTCCTCCAACGCCTTGTCGTATAAATTCAATAACCGGTGTACTTCAGCACGAATACCCAATGCGACCAGACAATCAGGCGCAAGTGACACGGCTTCATTAAGGTACGGAAGAGCGGAGGCATAATCGTCGTCAACCAAATATTCGTTGCCGGTATATGTTAGATCACACACACGTTCTTCTATCGTATGTCGAGGTGCCTTGCCTTTGTTTGATTTAGAACGGGTTGATTTAAAGTAATATGGCTGAGAGTTGTTGAACATTAATTCTTCTTGCTCCTAATCAACATAACAAAAGGCAGACGTTAGGGCGATCAAACAAAAGTGGAAAGGCATTACGCAATAAAGTCTATAGCATTCTCGGCTATAAAGACAGGCTATATATTACAGCAGTTATTCACTAACCAATTTATTAAGACTCGGCCCGGCGAATACAAGCTCCATAGT